GTCTATAGGCTCTAGGGGGGTCATCTGCATAAGGACGGCTCCAATGCCAACCCCGGAGGCATCGCACTCTATCTCAAAAGTTTTGTCAAAGTTCGGAAGAACTAAGACCGGTGCGGTAGTGAGGCTATCTTTGAGAGCGGAAAAAGCACGCTCTTGATCCTCGCCCCATTCAAAGACCACGTCTTTCTTGGTGACCGCGGTAAGGGGTGCAGCAATACTGCTGAAATCTCGGACAAATCGGCGATAGAAACTAGCAAGGCCGAGGAAGCTCCGCACATGGCCTATAGTAGATGGTGTCGGCCACTCCTGAATGGCCTTGATCTTTTCACCATCAACTCGCAGCCCTCGAGAGCTGACCACGAAGCCTAGAAAGACTAACTCGTCTGTGCAGAACGAGCATTTCTTAAGGTTGGCGTAGAGACTTTCCTTTCGGAGAGTGGTCATTACTTGCTCTAAGTGCGAGATATGGTCTCTTTCACCTCGACTATAGATGAGAATGTCGTCGAAGTAGACCACCACGAACTTTCCAATATAGGCTCTTAGAACCTGGTTCATGAGCCGCATGAAAGTGCTTGGGGCGTTCGTGAGCCCGAATGGCATAACGAGCCACTCATAAAGACCCTGTTTGGTCTTGAAGGCGGTTTTCCATTCATCACCTTCTTTCATCCGAACTTGATGGTAACCACTCTTAAGGTCGATCTTTGAAAAGATCTTGGCTCCGCTTAGCTCATCGAGCATGTCATCAAGTCGGGGTATGGGATGCCGGTATTTAACCGTGATGTTATTGATCGCACGACAATCCACACACATTCTCCAAGTCCCGTCCTTTTTTGGTACCAGTAGTACAGGGACTGCACAGGGACTGAGGCTCTCTCGGATATAACCCTTACTTAATAGCTCTTGAACTTGTTTTTCGAGCTCTTTAGTCTCGTCGGGGTTCATCCGGTACGCGGGTCGGTTTGGCAAAGGTGCTCCTGGCACTAGATCGATCTGATGTTCGATCCCGCGTATAGGTGGTAGTCCTGCCGGGATTTCATCCGGAAATACATCGCTATAGCGCTCCAGAAGTCGGCTAATAGCGGGACTGATGGTCGGTGTCTCCGTACGGAGGCTCAATTGGTCTTTGAATACCAAGAGCAACACCGGATGTTCTTGGCGAACAGCTCGCATCACCTGACTAGCCTTAACATAAAAATTCTCTTTCTCTGGGCACGTCCCTCTTGGTCTCCCCGAGCTCCCCTTGCACTGGTTCGTCCTCTTTCTCTCCCTTTCTCCCCTTTTTCTTCTTCCTCTGTTTCTGTCCGAAAATGCCTAAGTCCCAAAGTTGGGATGAGAATGTCGTCGAAGTAGACCACCACGAACTTTCCAATATAGGCTCTTAGAACCTGGTTCATGAGCCGCATGAAAAGTGCTTGGGGCGTTCGTGAGCCCGAATGGCATAACGAGCCACTCATAAAGACCCTGTTTGGTCTTGAAGGCGGTTTTCCATTCATCACCTTCTTAGCAAGTAATGACCACTCTCCGAAAGGAAAGTCTCTACGCCAACCTTAAGAAATGCTCGTTCTGCACAGACGAGTTAGTCTTTCTAGGCTTCGTGGTCAGCTCTCGAGGGTTGCGAGTTGATGGTGAAAAGATCAAGGCCATTCAGGAGTGGCCGACACCATCTACTATAGGCCATGGGAGCTTCCTCGGCCTTGCTAGTTTCTATCGCCGATTTGTCCGAGATTTCAGCAGTATTGCTGCACCCCTTACCGCGGTCACCAAGAAAGACGTGGTCTTTGAATGGGGCGAGGATCAAGAGCGTGCTTTTTCCGCTCTCAAAGATAGCCTCACTACCGCACCGGTCTTAGTTCTTCCGAACTTTGACAAAACTATCTTTGAAAAGATCTTGGCTCCGCTTAGCTCATCGAGCATGTCATCAAGTCGGGGTATGGGGTGCCGGTATTTAACCGTGATGTTATTGATCGCACGACAATCCACACACATTCTCCAAGTCC